GTGTATGCACTCCGAGGAACATATAAATACAGAAGTTGTTGGTAAAAGCACTGAAAATAGTGGGTTTCACTTAAGAGAAGAATGACTTTAATCAGTTTTCCTTCATGTAAAACATGAACTGGTTTGGTTAGATGGACCAAATAGGTGTCATTCTACAACAGAAACCTGATAATTGCTGATGAGCTCTGTGTAGAGAAGACAGGCCGAAACCAGGCAGGCCTTGCAACGTGATCTCATTCCTATTCGTCCTACTTTGCCACTTGGGCAGAAGCAGCCTTTTGCGTAGTATCTTGTGGCTGAAGGTTTGCACGTGGTTAATGTTGTGAAACATGGTTAGCGGTTGCAGATAACATTGTAAGACTTGGTTGACAGTTGTCTCACAGTTAGCTTGGTCAAACGGTTGGGGTCAACGTCAACAAACACCGTTGCCCTGCGTGTCCTGTGTTTGTCCCATCCATCAACCCTCCCACCCGTCCACAGTGGACTTCCTCGCTCTTTACACTACGCCAGTTGCTCTGACCGTCTAATACTGACGCGTATGGGTTTACATTAGAGTTACGTGAAAGCCCGGTGTGTTCGAAGATTGTCTTGTGCATCAGTTCCAAGGCTCCACTTGTACTGTACAGTCGGAACTAGACTATAGCCTTCTATGGAACCGCCAATCTTCAGATTTGTGGAAAATGTAATCTGCCTCTGAACCACAGCGTCGCTTCAAAAAAGCAGGCCAGCCTTGTTTCGCAATGTTTATGTCGACCGTAGCATAAAGAAACACGCAGCAGGTGCCCTGCCACAGAACACTATAATGCAGGGTCACCCAGCAGAAAAGTTGAACCGGGTCAACGTTTGCTGCAATCCAATGAAACTTCGCCAATCAAACAATTGATTGTTTACTTTGAAACGTGAACAAAGATGTTGTGCCGTCTACTACCTGGCAATAAACCTTGCAAAGAAAACCTCACTAGCCCTGCTCGGCCTTCTTTGGCCCTGTGTGGCCCTGCTCGGCCTTCTTTGGCCCTGTGTGGGACATTAGCTTGCAGATGTTAGCTAGCACAGAGTTTGTGCAGAATTGGGGGCGGGGGGGGGTAATAAAGCATTAGATTTGTCCGCATGGACTCAGACAAGTATTATCTTCCGATCAGCGTGACAAACAGCAGTTTCTATTTATTTTACACATATATATTTTACACAATAGATCTTTCCAAGGATCCAGAAGTGTTTGAAAAGAGTAAGAGTATAATATATACTAAAGCTGAAACAATTAGTCATGCAATAGTTGACACAGCCAAACCTTTGCTGGTTCCAGCTTCTCAACTTTAAAGAAAAATGCTGTTGTTCTTGGTGTTAAAACTAATCTTTTTAAATTCTACCAAACAAGTCAACTTGTGATCGGCCTTTTGTACAACTTTCTGACTCTTTATAGACTATATGAATAATCGGTTGATTGGAAAAAAAACCTGCAGATGAAGTAATAAATCAAAAGAATGACAGTTGCAACCCTACTACACACACATACAGTCTGTGGCTGCCAAAAGAGAGTCTCTGGTCAGAATTTGAAGCATGTCAAACTTTATTTTGAGGATCATGATCGTGGTTTCAGGTGGGGATGGGGTCAAACATAACTCGGCCTCTCAGTTGAGGCTAAACATCCAGCACAGCTCAGGTCACCGTAGTGAAACTGTAGCCACGACGGTTACATGATATGTGACACAGTTACAGTGTAGAAGCTGCAGGTGGGTTCACTGAGCTCAGTGACATCAACACTGGAACACTCCACTCATAGAGTCCATACAGGGCGTGACCCGTGCACAAAACAACGGTCGATGTATTGAATAACAGATGACCTCAAGAACAAAAAGAGCCCAAGAAACCAACTAGTGATTCTGCACAGGAACACTAACCTGCCCCCAGGTTTGCAGCAAAAATGTAATTACGAATATGCGACACACTACATAAGCGTAACATCACCTGAAAATTAATACGAGATTTGATGTATTCAATACCCTGCCGAAAAAAAGTAGCTCTCAAATGCATATTGTCCTTTCCGTCTATTTTCTAATATTTTAGAATTATTCCAGAAATCTGCCATTATCTATTTTGGAATATCTCCGATTCAATATATCTCAATATCTCATTGCTAACGTTGAAAACGCTATATTGATATGCTAGCAAGTAACCAAGGGGGGATGGGCTTAGCAAAGGGCAAATTTGAAGATTAATAAAATAACATTGTGGGAAAGATATATTGAAATGATGTAGTTGTAGTTAAAAAAAATAAAAGATAAACATTTACAGCAGGAAATCATTACCTCAAGTGAACATGAACATTTGATTTTCCTAAATACTGGCAGACCTTTGTTTTTAAACCTTACTTCGAGCTTGGTTGAAAAACAGCAGTGTACCGTTTTTTGTTTTATTTTCCATTTTGATTTTATTGATACGACAACCAATAACAGCCTGACCCGAAACTATATGAGACTATCAAATCAGAAAATTACACAACAGTGAAATATGCAGATTACAACATCTGGGTTTGTCCCACCATCAGCCCAAATATACTCTGTTACAATGCAGCCCAGCATCATGGCAGGTTGTGAAATAGTCATGAAAACAACGTATTGGTTTCGTGTACATGGACATGAAATTGTCCGGGGTTTTTCTTTCAATGCAAAGTTGATTAGGTTGAAACATGGGACATTCAACCACAAGACCGGTATTTGACACCGTGTGGTTCTGTTGCCTAACGTTTGCTTTGTTGCCCAACAGTTATTTTTAGCCCAACCATGTTGTCTTTCCTAAACCTAACTATGCGCACAAACCTAACTTTTGTTTTGTAATATAATACCTTAAGAGAAAGAAGTCGTTCCGAGCAACACAAAAAAAAAAAAAAAAAAGGACAAAAGAAGCAAATGATTACATTAGAGAAGCTGGAAACGGAGCATTCACATAGTATCTGCATTGTTGTCATCGGTTGAATTGAGCGCTCCGATTTCAAGTCACAGCGCTGGATTTCTGCCGCAACCGTCTTCAACTCATGCTCAGATAAAGGAGAGTACACAGGAACATTTGCAACACCGGTGTAAGACAAAGCCCTGAACACATTCACAGGGATCAACGGGTTTGTTTGAGACCGCGGCCTGAAACAGACAGGAACACAGCGGCGTGTTTAATTGGTTCTTCGGTTCAGGTGTGGCCGAGGACCAGTCTGCTGTCAGACGCCCAGAAACAGGTCTGAGTGTTGTTCTGCTGTCACTGGGTGGAGAGACTTTTTAACCACACCGACACATTTCCAAAGCCTGAGAAAACTTATAGACAATCCAATGCCACCAAAGAATCTGTTGGACGGTTACAGCAGGGTGTTTGTTTGTGTGTTTGTTTGTGTGGGATAAAGATAAGCTGGGTAAAGACCTGAGACATATTACTGTACAAAACAACTCAATGCAACTTCATGAAGACACGTAACGTTTGGATTTAAAGCCCACCACAGCGTTTCTACATTCCCAGGTCTATTCTTCAAATGTCTTGTTCTGTCCGACCAAACGTTCAAAACCCAAACATATTCACTTTACAATGATGTGAAACTGAGAAATGTAGTATATCAGCCCAGTCGCCATGAACACTTTTTTGGCATTGTAAGTTTCTGCAAACCATGGGTACATTGAATGTTGATGTGTCGTAGTACAACAAGCGGCGCGGAGAGCAAACAACGTAGTATATGTGGCGACTGTTATCGGAAGTACATGGTATAATAAAGAGTATAAGAAGCAAGGGAGTCCACAAAGGGTGGATCGGTGGGTCAAACAAACACAGGACCTTCACCCAGGAGGCCGCTGTACGTGTCCCATGTGAAGCCAAATTGCGAGCGTTAATGTTATGCTTGTTTCCTAACATTATGTAAGAAAGTCATAGAACAGTTAGCCACGAAGTTAGCAACAACTCCGGCGCACTAAAGCTGAGCTGACCTTTAGGGTTAACCAACTATTGTCCTTTATGTGACAAGCAGCCCCTCTGAGTTTTGCTCAGCTCTTTTTATTGATAGTACCAGATACCAGCAGGGTTAAATGGTTATTCATTAACTTCACCACTGCAGAAAACATGCTCTTTGTATCAGGAAAACACCATGTTGAATGTTAAAATGTCAATTAGTTACAGTCTGAAAGCGAGGAACATCTGATGAAAATAAAAATGATTTCAAAGTAATTGTTAGAACTGTAATGTATTATTAAGTACTCTTTATCTGCATGTACTCAAATGTATATACTTGTACTGAAAAAAAGACTCAAGTTGTTCGTACTATTCTATTATACCAGCAACTATGAATGAATAGCTATTTTGCTAAAACCCAGCATTGTCCCTGTTCAAATAAAGAAACATGACATCACGTAAACTCAATGGAGATAGAAAATAAAAGGTCAAGGTATTGTATTTCATCTCATTAATGCAGAAACAGTGTAACCATGAAGCATCACTCAAATACAAGCTGTTAGATATTAAAATGATAGAGGTCAATGATGACCATTCAAAAATCTGTCCCATCAGACCTCCATCCCTACACCTTCTCATCAAAGATGAGGCCTACTCCGCTATCTGCACCAGACCAGCAGCAAGATACCTGTCTCTGTAACCATGGCAACAGAGGGACACGTGCACACCGAACACACACCTCTCTAAACGTCCATCCCGAGGGCACACAGACAGGACACTGGATACACACACACACACACACAGAGTGAGCGTGCCAGGTACAGAATAAAAACCGGTTGTTGAGCAGTACAGTGGTTTAAATTACCACCCTCACTGTCTCACATTAGGCTTTTCAAACAGCATGCTATCAAATCGAACCGGCGCTGGGAGTTTCGGTTCGACTGACGTCAGAAACTTATTTTCTTGCAGGTAAAACTGGTCAAACAACGAACCGGAGAAAAAACAACTCACAGCAAGTTGAGACGGTGTGTGACGTGGTGAACGTGCTCGGATTCACGTCTGTGTGATGATTGACTTACCGGCTGATGGTGGATGAGATCATTTCAGGAAGGGGAAAGAAACACGTCCGACCCGGTGCGGAAACAAACTCCTCAGAAACACTTCCGGTGATCCAGGTGAGGTTTGGACTTGTAATCGTCTGAAAAGAGCTGAGTGACACAATTCTTCTGCAGACGGGAATGATCTGCAGTCTGCAGCAGGAACACACAAACAAGACTAAAGAGGGGCAGGTAACCCGAGCCTACCTGCTGCAGGTAGAAGCCACGCCCCCTCTGAACCTGTCCTCGCGCGCACCTGTAGCTGCTCACTTGCATCACGTGCCTGTAGCTCGTGTAGTTTTTTTTTTACCAACACCTTCTCTGATGTGCCCTAGTTCACCTCCTCACAGAATGACGTGGTCATTCTCATCCGTCAATCACTTTAATGTTATTTACTTATTTATTCTATTTATTTTCCGTCATTCATCGATCACTCAAACTCTTTAGTACGCTCACAGGCACTAGTGAATGACGCATAGAAGTGGAGCTGGTTTTGGAATGGGACGTGGCCCCGCTGGCCTACTTTATTGGTCCTCAAACCATAAACACAGAGAACTCCTCTCTATCTCACAACTGTGAACATGCAGATGACTTTTTTGAAAGCACACATCATATTTTGTGCTCACTCCCCTAAAATTTGCCTAAAACGCCTATCAACCGCGTACCCAAAGTAAACTGACAGCTCTTATTGAACCATTGGGAGTACATGTATGGTTTTAGTCTCTTGAACGGCAACACTCTAAAGTTTCTTCACAATCAGTCAGAATCACTGTAAGTGCTACTAGCATTGAGCTATGGAGTTTTCAGCACAGTGAAAAATAAGGATTTTATTTCCGCCTAGATTTGTTTTGGCCAACAGATGGCAGCAGCTATCTATGGCTGGGACTTACAGGCCTGAAAAGACAGTCCTACGACAGCATGCAGTCATGACACCTGGTATAAGTTAAAATTTGATAACAATATGACAGTATTTTACACGTGGTTTACTAAGAGTGCGTCCGCGTCAAAACGCGGTTTCAAGGGTCTGAATACTTATGACCATGTGATATTTCAGTTTTTCTTTTTTAATACATTTGCAAAAATTTCTACATTTCTGTTTTTTCTGTCAAGATGGGGTGCTGAGTGTACGTTAATGAGAAATAAAATGAACTTTTTTGATTTTAGCAAATGGGTCTGAATACTTTCCGTACCCACTGTATATGAGGTTATGAAGGGTCACGTCTCCCTATACTTTACATCTCAGGGTCATTGTATTGCTAGCTAATACTGCTGTGTGTTGTGATTTCACTGAATTTTACTGTTGTAATTACTAGTTGTTAATGAGCCCATACAAGCATCAAATAAGTGGAGGAGCTCACTGTTGGATCCCCCAGTTCTTAATGAACCAAAAGGATCCTGCAGTATGTCTGCTGTCTGTTGTTGAGGAAGCCCAGCAGACAGGATTCACGCTTCAAAAGGTCACCGAGTGATAACATAACCTTTTACACTGTCTCCAAGCCAAACAGTCAAAGATTAACATTTTCCGACAACTTTAGGAAATTTAGACAAAATAAAATGCAATATTCTAGGGATGTGTTTAAAAGTAGTTTGCAATTTGCATGTTATAGTTTCTCATCTTATATGACACTATGAATCTATTGCTTTTCTGCCAGCTCATCACGCCCACACTGACTTTGTCACAAATTTGGAAATTATTGAATACACTACAATAGAATAGATTGCAAGAGGTCTTTATCATTTATCATTTATCATTGTGCTCAGAACAATCAAAATCTATTTAGTGTTTTCTTCAGCAGAAGTGTGCAACATAAAGGTAGAGAATATATACCAGACAAGCAATAAAAATGAAAAACAAATAAGATAAAGGGACCAGTGCGATGTTGGTATCAGCATATATTGAGGTATGTGCACTACTGCAATATGTGCAGTGCAATATGATGAAGAAGTGCGTAATGTGTGTGTGTGTGTGTGTGTGTGTGTGTGTGTGTGTGTGTGTGGGGTAATTGCTCAGAGTTGTCAGTCTTGGGGAGTGAACAGAGGTTACAGTTCTTGGATAGAAGCTGTTTTTCAGTCTGTTTGTGGTGCTTTTGACTGTCCTGGATCTTCTGTCAGAGGGGAAGGGGGCAAATAGATATAGTCCAGGGTGGGATGGATTGATCATTGGAGCAACGCGATGTCAACATTGTACTCTGGAGGCTGATTGGTTAGGGAATACAACCTCCTTTGGGGTGTCACTCTATGGCACATATTAGCATGATAACAAACAACAACACAGAATTAAAATGAGAGGTCCAGCTCTAAGGTAGGACAGCAGGAGCCCGTCCTCTGCTGCCCTTCACCATCACTTCACACAGACTGCCCTGTCCCTTCTTTCCTGTCCTGCAGGTGTTGCAGTTGAAGCATCAGAATTTCAAAAATGTATGGTTTTGGATGGAAGAGAAAAAATATATTAGACATTTTCTGAAATTTGTTAATGGTTCATTCCAACCAATCACTCTTTTTTTGTCTCCCTCTTGCCTCTCAATGGTAGAGGAGGATCAACAATCTCATGCCTGTGTGGACCGCCCTTCTCTGATTGTGGCACGTTTCAGTCAGATTCAGCTGGTTATTGCATCATCCAGAGGTGAGCGCTGCAGTCATTATACAATAACACTGAGTGCTGATCAGTTTTGTTATTCATTGAATGTTTTCTAAGTAAAATGGATAAAAAATAATATCCAGGCCATGCAACAAAAATACCTAATTAGAGTTTCAGATAATTTTACAACAATATATTTCACACTCAAATCATTTTTTTGCAGAAAACATATTACCGTCCCATACCACACAAACACACACACACACACACACTGACCTACTCACCTTTCCGCCTCAATGCCCAAACAGCCTTTTGTTCTCTGAACCCACCAATGACACGGCCATTGTCCGCCTGTCAGCCAATCTACCAGCCAATCAAAGCGCCGTATGTACACCCAAACGGACCAATCAGCTGGCAGTATGCCTTACCATATTTACACCACACCCACTTCTTTCTTTAACACAAGCACACCCTGCATGATCGCATTCAATCTCTCCTCCCTTCGCTCTTTCTTTTGTTTAAATGTATGCTTGTACGTGTGTGTGTGTGTGTGTGTGTGTGTGTGTGTGTGTGTGTGTGTATGCCTGTGTATTTCCTGACCTTTACTGCAACATCAGTTCTGACCTGTTTTTACAGTAATGGCAGCAAATAGGAGCACATTTATCTGACACACTAAGGAGAGAGAAATGACAAAACGGGGTCAAATATTCAGGTTTTTTTTGTCGTTGTTGATTGCAGGTGACATTTTCTCATGTTTTCACCAAGCAGGCGTTATCTCGAAAGTCAAACAGTTAACCAAAACTACTTAATGCAACAGGAGAGCCAAATCACCGTGGCTGACTGTGAAAGGCTGATAGGCTGGCAAACAAACCTTATATCATTAATGTCTTCTTAATTAAAACCATCATTTCCAAATCTCCACGAAGATCAACTGTCAAAAATACAGGTTTCCTAAGAAAAGCTGTCTTGGAACCAGCGTCTATCCAGTAAGAGGAACTGCATCCTTACAGCACATCCATAAAGGCAGCCTTTTTCTTGTAAACTATTTCTATTTATTTCTATGCTCAGTGTTTCCCACCAAAACACATGTTGTGATAAACTTGATTTTTAGTAGTACGTATGTATAGACGAGTGGCCACAACCCAAGCGTTATTAGTTATGTACAACATGTTTTTGTTTTTTTCATTTAATTTATTTAAAAGGGACCATGTGTTTAAACATAAATGTCTCCATTCGATGCACTGTACCAGATTGTAGCTTAAGCTAATTTGCAGAGCTCCCTGCCACCTGTAAATCGTATTTATTATTGGCAGTGACAGCCTATCATGTTTCTGTCTGCTACCACAAAGATTTCTATGTTGGCCAATCAGCACTCATATCGCTACCAAGATTTCCCCCAGCGACTACCGAGAATTGACCAATCAAAGTCACCAGCTGGATAACGACCGACTACAATTGACTTCTTCATATCAACATTTCAAAAGTCAGTCCTTTATAGCTATCGTCAATACAATTACATTTAGATATGTAGATATTTGAATGAATAACCCGTGGCCCACGACTAGCTAGCTAACGTTACATGTCCCATCACTGTATAGCCTTATATTACGGTTTGCTTTCCAGTAGCGATTGTGAGACTTCCTAAGTTAGGCCTGACATTACTAATATTAAGTTAATGTAAAATCAAATTAACTTGAACATATTTGACAAACTAACTTGCCTGTTGATGACACTAGCAAGCTAACATAAAGCTAACAGTTTACTTTAAGGGGGGACCTTGGAGTGGAGCGGTCTGCCAGCTTCTTTTACAAAGATATTTTTCATTTTATGCATTCATTAATTAACAATTAAGTTATGTAACACCATGATGAGAGCTAAAATTAAATAGTAAAATTAAGTTGTAACGCCTACTGTACATTAACGTTACTGGACAGCTCTTTATGGCTTAAACTTAACATTACTGACTTGAAAAACCCTATTTGTCCCAGGCAGGGATGGAAAGTACGGAATTTACATTTACTCAAGTTCTGTACTTTACTTGAGTATTTCCATTTTATTTATACTTGTACTACATTACAATTAAGAGGGAAATATTGTACTTTTTACTGTGTTACAAATATCTGATAACTTCAGTGACTAGTTACTTCGAAGATCAAAGTTTCTGGATACAATATATATGCTCAGTTTATGAAATGTGATGCATTGTAGATTCATTGTTACAGATTAAACTACCTTGATTGGTTGCCCTGATGGGCGTCTTCAAAATCCAGTGTGGTGTGTTTGCAGGCAGAAATTCAGGTTGATGTCGGACAATTCCACAATTCCCTGAGATATGCTGCTTACCTGGCGGCAGCAATTGAGCAAGCAAAGACTCCCAAGACTAAGCCCACATTATTGATATTCAGCTCATCCCCTCAGACAAAATTGCCATTGCCATGAAGGAAGAGCAGTCTGCTGGGAAAACTCCACAGCACTCTACCACCACGCAGCAATGCCCCCACCCTATAGCTTTTGAGCAGGTATGTACATGGCCTTCATCCACAGGACTGTGTCCATTGAGGCAGCCACACCCCACACAGATGTACCTGCTTTACTCTCCACTGAGCTGGATGGCAGCATGCTGCCGGCAGAGGCAAT